CTACGAACGCATGCGTGCTTGAAATGATATCACACATGTACATATGTATGTAATTAGGCATGCAACCCAGCAAGAACAGCGTAACGCATTTCATTCTTATTGATGATATGTAGGCACTTGGCAACGAATTTTCATGTGCGGCGTTGGCATGTAGGGAGAGTATCCGCTTAGAAAATCTGAAAACCCCGGTTCAAATCTCAGCTGGCGCAAGTTACAATCACTTGCAGTCTAGTTTGTGGTGTGCTCTAAGTCTATTCCGAGATCCCACAGGGTTACTAACCGCAATTTGTGCGAATTTATTTGAGTTTATTCGCAAAATAAATTACTTTCGCATGCTTAAAGGTATATTAAAAAACAAAAATTGTTGTTTTACGCAAATGTACATCGCCATTAGAATATTGTTCCGTAATAATTACAATAAAGTTGTGGCAAAATAATTAAAACTCCAAAGTAACCAGAAATTATATACAAATTTATACAATTACCGCATCGAATACTTTTACTTCACATCCATTCGTATGACAAGGGAAGCCACTGTATTTTAATTCGTTGAACTAAATATGTCAGTAAATTTTTCACAGAATCTTTCTGCCTAACAATCCAAGGTTAGCCAAATCAGATGTTGTCATTCACGATTCTGATCCATACATTTGGACGGACTTGGTGAGGCGACTTGTTGCTCAATTGTCTATTCATTGGCAGCTCAAAATAGAGGTCTCCGTTAGATTTCAAGGCAGACTGTTGGTGCTGATTCTGGATAAAATTTCCAACACTTCACAATTTCGGCGCTCATATACTGATTGCTTGTTTATTGAATGACAGAGGTCGCTTTGCCAATCTTCCTTAGACAGAGCAAACGACGCGGTGATTGAGACCGCGGTTCAGATCTGCAGCTCTCAGATAATGGAAACCACACAATTATGGGACTTGGATTGGTCTTTTCCACCGTCGTTTCACATCGTCGTTTAAAGTACAAAACCGCGTATCAAGAAAATGCCAAACCTCGTATGTCAGGAGAGTAAAACTTGTCTTACTTCTAAACGGTTCTCTCTTTTATCTCTAATTATCTCTTCTTCTTATATCTAAGTATCGATATTTTGGTATGAATGGATAAGGGCTTGATTGCAGGAGCTTTCGCTGAGCAGATCTCTTTTTTGGCACAAATTTCAGTTGCGAGGTTTTGCAGAACCACGATACGCGGTTTTGTACTTTAAATGACGATATGTATTCACTGTATTGGTGTTGATGCAATCGGACATTTTGACTCTAATCTCGATAGACAATGTCGAATTCGTCACTGTAAACGTACGATGATGCATGCAAAGACAGTAAGTAATGCTGCCTTGGTGGTGTGATTGTTGACAATGTTTATTTAATAATTTAACCGGATATCGCAACAATACCGGCCAGAGTCGCCGCGTAAACAGCACAACTGAATGCAAGAATCGCTGCGCCATGCGTATGTATAATCGGCCATGCGTTGTCCATAGTTGGAGGCATGCGAGTGCAGTGACTTTCAAAGCTCCAAAATGAGTTGAGGTTTATTAATTCTATCTGAAATGTAATGTAAATATTATTTCTGGTAGCCGCATATCAAGGTTGACACACATCTGTACATAAGTAATATTCATACGTTTGCTATATAAATACATATGTAAGTACATAGCTTAAGCGCATATCAGTCACTTGGTAGATACGTACTATGTACATACGTATGCATACAGCTGCTGTCAAAATATTAGCACCAAAATTTAAATGATATTGAGGTTGTTCACACGTGCCTTATTATCAGGTTATTCGGTTAAAAATTATTATTGTGTAGTGTATTTTATTGTAAATCGGATAAAAAATATAACCACATAACCTGATAACCAGGCAAGTGTGAACAACCTCATTGTTTGCCATTGTTTGCAACTCATGCTTATTTATTTATTCTTAATAGTTTTCTTTTAAAATAGAGTTCGATCTATAACAGAAACCACAGAAGTAAATGTTTCATAGCTTGCAAAAATTAATCAAACTTCAAAAAATTTCGTCAAAGAAAACAATTAGAAAATTTTCGAATATGTATGTAGTTTCATTCATTTTACTATAATAAAGTGCAAGTTTCAAGTCGCTAAAAATTGCCGATGATTTTTTAAATTTTTTTTGTTTTTGCTTTGCCGAGGGTGTTGAACATTTTCTTCCATATAACGCATCAAATGGAAGAAAATGCACAAAACCTTCTGCAAGAAATTCTAAAAAATCAATGGTAATCTTAAGTGACTTTATTACTCTTCATTACACTTAAATTGAATGGGCAATAAAACTAAAATTTTCCCACAATTTTAGACAAAAGGGTTGCATTTGTTTTAAATTTGACTAATTTTTGTGAGCTTTGTGCAAGCTTTGAAACTTTTATTTATGTGGTTTCTGTTATAGATCGAACTATAATTTACATAAATAAAAATTATTAAAAATAAATAAACATAAGTTGTAAGCAACACCATTCTGAATTTTGGTGATATTATTTGGACCGCAGGCAATGGCAAACCGCCGAGTGTATTTCTGCCATGAAAAAACAGCTCCTCATATAAATACAATTGCCGTGCGGAGTCGGTGCAAAGCTGTAGGTCCCTCCCCTGCACAACAGCAAGACGCACCCCATAAATCGGAGGAGAAGCTGGGCCAAACATTATTATTTGGACCGCAACTGTATGTTTTTGTGTATATTTTTCTACTTTCCGCGTGTGTGATTGCCCATAACATACACACACTTAAGCTTACGCCTCCATTGCAATTCAAAATCCAATTGGATGTATCGTCGGAGTATTTGTTGCCACCAGCGAGCTTGCCGCCCAGCCACACCCGTTCACCTCTACTGCTCTAAAGCGGCTGCTCTTACGCCGGCGTCTGCGTCTGCGTCTGCGTCAGCATCAGCTGCATATGAGCACATAGTTCGATTATTTAGAGCTTATGCACTTTTTTTTGCCTTCTTTATGTTACACATATTTTTTGTTGTTGTTTCTTGTTTATAAATAGCACACTCTATTGTTTTGTTCCACGTTGATTCTTCCTTGCTCTTTCTCAACTTTGCTTTGTTTGTTTAAATCACTCAGTCATTTATTCGAAGCTTGTCGACACGACTCTTTACTTGGTCTCCATGACGGAACTGAAAGAAGCTCCACAATGCGCCGATTGCACCGACTTGTACTAGTACTATAACTATAATAAATACATACTATACTACCTACATACTATACCACACAACATACATACATACATATATGTATGTGCAGAAATGCATGTTTGTCTGTAATGGCATGTTTTGTGTTTTATAAAAAAAAAGCTGACAGGGTGTCGGCAGCCCAGCGTACTTGCACTCCTTGTAAAAGTTCAAGATAGTACAAAGCAGCAGTCACACTTCCATGCATACTCGCACATACATACATATGTATGAACATGGTGTATGGTATCATATGATAGATTTATATATGTATGTATGTGTCTAAAGTTGCTAGCACGTAAACACGCGCTAGCCGATTTAGCGTGAATAGTCTTTCGAGACGACACAATGAGACGAGATTCAATGACTCTGGCTGGCAGATGATGAAAACATGCAACAACAACAACAATGTCGTTAACTAAAAGGAGAATTGCTCTTAAGTGAATGGTTGAATGATAAAAACATATTAAATCATTTCCAAATAACCATCTGCCACTTACTTATACACTAAACCGCACGCAATTGACCTTCCAATTCATATCGCGATTGGAAGTAGTTTTATCGAAAATGTTATTGGATTATTGCAATGCGGCCCAATGTTTGTGATGAATAGTTAAGCTTACAAAAGTGCTAACTGCCTTTCAGTTTGCCTTTCTCCTAATTGCATAGTTTTGTTCATCGTATGCTTGAAAAATAAAATAAAAATTTTGAAAAAGACTTTACAAAAAATGTTGAATTTTGCAGAACTGTATGAAAGACCTTATCGTTTAGACCCGTATTGTATGCAATAATTCCGAATTAAGGTAAATTTTGGTGGGTCATGGATATTCCAGATCTGCGATAGTTCGGCTTTTAATAGTCGTACCTTGTTTGTCGTTGGGGTAATTTTGAATTGATCATGATGAAGTTGAGAAAGACGATAGCACCTGAATCAACGCCTACTTATCTGCCTGGTGCGTGGTGTTTTAGTTACCTTACCGCCGCTTTAATTGCAAACTTTTCCGCTAGCTTCAAATTGAGTTGCCCGATGAAATTTCATAAACCTAACCCAAATCCCTTATTTGATCCGTCTATGAAAGTTTTTTTCTAACAACCGTCGTCCCTCTGCAAGCAATGGCAATCCCCCGAGTGTATTTCTGCCATGAAACTGTAGGTCCCTTCATTTGTGTAAGATCATCAAGACGCACACCACAAATTGGAAGATAAGCTCGGCCAAACACTTAACAACAGTGTAAGCGCCAAAATATTTTATGATTGTTATTAAGTCGTGCAGAACGTTCAGGGCCTCCATTCGGCGGGAACTCATTGCAGTTGTTGCGCTAAGAGCAGCAGTTCCTGGCTTCAGTCCTTTCATTCTTTATTGAAAGTTTGGTCTTAGGCCCTGTGTAACCACATTTCGGGCTACACCTTTGGAAACGTTTGAGTAAAACAAATTATAGCTCGCATTACATATTTAAAGCTTAGTTTTTAATTAATTTAGACAGAGGTACCTAANTTGGTGGATTTTGGTGTGTCAGCACAGCTGGATCGCACGATAGGTAGACGCAATACATTCATAGGTGCGTACTCAAACAACAAAACATAGATACATATACTACATAAAATTATATGTTAAAATTGTTTGCTGTTTTTTTTTTTTATGCAGGCACTCCATATTGGATGGCACCGGAAGTGATTGCCTGTGATGAAAATCCGGAGGCCACGTACGATAACCGTTCAGATTTGTGGTCGTTGGGTATAACTGCACTGGAAATGGCCGAATCTCAGCCGCCTTTGTGTGATCTGCATCCGATGCGTGCACTATTCTTGATTCCACGCAATTCACCGCCACGTCTAAAATCGAAAAAGTGGTCAAAGAAATTCCACGGATTTATTGACACAGTGCTTGGTAAGTGATCAGCAACTAATATGATTGTTAAATTAGTATAGAGAATATATTTTGGCGTTTATTCCATTGAAAATGCATAGTGAAAGACTACCATCAGCGGCCTTACACAGAGCAATTATTAAAGCACGCATTTATTAAGGATCAGCCCACAGATCGCCAGGTGCGGATACAATTGAAAGATCATATCGATCGTTGCAAAAAGCGAAAGCAAGAGAAGGATCGTGACGACTTTCATTATTCCGGTTCGGACAATGATGACGATGAGCCGCAGATTGCTGGCGAACCAAGCTCCATCATACAGGCACCAGGCGGTGATACCTTGCGCCGCAACTTCCAACAGATACAGGAGGGACGCATCGCTGCCGAGCAACAGCAGCAACAACAAATTGCAGCGGCTGCTGCAGCCGCACAAGCCCAGGCACAGGCCCAGGCTCAGGCTCAGGCTCAAGTGCAGCAACCGCAGGCTAACCGCAACCAGAAGCCACAAACAGTACGTAGAATTATAAGTTATAGATATAGAAGATTACTACATACATATTCGAAAAAAAAAAATAATAATTGCAGCGCGAACAAAGGCAACAAATCGAAGAACCAGGGCCACCATCGCGCCCAGCATTGCCCCAGCGCGTAATTGTGGTGCCCGATCCACCAGTTGCAAATCCACCACATGCCAATCGCCCGTTGCCACCGACCCCGAAAAGTTCGGAACCCTCTGCTCAAACGCCACAGCAACAGCAGCGCAATTCGCAAAACAATTTCAAGCCATCGGTACGTATAGATTTGTGTAGTGCGCTTTTATATATTGTTCTCGAAAAATACTCATATGCCAGTATAATATATAGTTGTTGCTGTTAAATTTAGATACCCAAAAAGCTTATAAATATCAGAAATATTATTTTTAACGTTAATACAATATATATATATATATATCCTGTAAATAGTGATTTCCAAAGTATGGCACTGAGTGATATTGTTTTTGAATTACGTTTGAATTTTTATTTTCATGTTTTCCGTTGTCCCCGTCATACATGTTTGTTTTGTTTGCTTTGGATACGGAATATAAAACCAATAATACAAATAATTGTCTTGGTTGGTATCCACACATTAAATGTTTGTTGCCCGCCCGCCCGTCCGTCCTCTACATGCAACGATGCCCAAACTCATTATCTCCGCAACATTGGAAACTCATACAACACACTCCACATGAAAACTATGAACACAACGAACACTCGTATCTCATTACCATCATGTTCATCATGAAACAAACTAAACAGTTGCCACCAAGGAGACCTGAGGTATGTTTCCCCACTTTCGTTTTATTCATATACGAAACATGCACTCGCACAATACACACACTTCTTACATTTAATGACATCTTGTGTATGCATTCTTGTAATATTGAAGTTCTTTTATTTTTTAAATTATTCGTAATTTAACTGTAACCGGAAACGTTTCTATTTACGATTTTATGTGACCGCGTCTGCTAAAAGCGTGTTATCGACCAATAATTATTTTTCGTCCGGGACTATTCGGATTGCATTTTGAAGACCTTCAAACTATTTCATAAACCAAATGTCGATTCTTTGATTGCTAACATCCTTTTCCCAGACGCGGTCGCACTTACTCTGTATCAAATGTATGGCCGTTAATCGGAGGTGCCACAAAAAATGTTGCTTTCACTCATTAACCCTTTAATCTACATACATATTTACTGCTGTAGTGCTGCACGAAAAAACCTAACACATTTAATGCTTAGTATTAGTAGATTATTAGAGTGGTTACCTCCTTCTGATAGAGCGTATTCGTAAATGATTTCAATTCATACGCAGTAGACGATTAATTTACAAAGAAAAATATGCGCGCTGCTTTCAAAGTATAATATCCACACTGTATTTTAAAATGGTTGCTGTTAGTCAGGAAATGAAACATAGTCAGGACAAGTTATTCAAGCTCACAATAACTCGCATAGAGCGGAATAAACAAAAAATTTAAAATTACATACAAATAAAGGTTTTCATACAAATTTACTCATTTCATTAGTATGTATGTAGTTCAAACTTTTACTAAAATTTTGAATCGCTCTATCTCAGAAATGGTGATTCATGAGAGCAAAAATGTCAGAACAATTTTTGTAGGGAATCGCATGATCTACCTATTTTTATCATAAAACTTACCGTTTGACTGAAAAATGCAAAATACCCATATATATGGGACCTTTGGACTTGAATGTATTTGTTTGGCAGTTGTCGGATCGATAGGGACTTTTCACATTTCATTTATAATGATGTTACCAAAATTACTACCAATTTTCAGCTCTCTGCTAATTAGAGTAAGCTTATTGCATAAGCCTTCAGTGATCATTTACCTCTGTTATTCAACTTAATCAGGTAAAGGTAAGGTGATGGTAGAACGACTTACAAATGCATTCAGTTGGATGTAACACCACCTAAGCACAAGAGGTGGAAATGCATTATGCTACTTTCAACCCAAACGGCCCATTTTTTAGTCTACCATTTTATTTTCGTTTCATTAAAAAGTTTCTTACGTTTTATTAAAAAAGAAAAAAATCGATATGGGAAAATTACTGTGAAAAGAGCTTCGTTTTCGACATATGTATATATAGTATGTATATGCATTTTATTGCTAATGGCAGTATGTTGATAACACTGATTTACAGCATAAATGTTCTATGGATGCCCCTATCCAGTTCCCATGTAGAATTCCTCGGTGTTTCCGAAAATCGGGATCATTTTTTTTTGTATGAATAACTTTTCGAGATATTTGCAATTTACCGTTACTCAGCTTTAAAAAATAGTGGCTTCACTTAATCACGCATATCTTACGAACCAATTGAATAATCGTAATACGAGGTACAGGAAATGAAAGCAAATGAAATTCTCCATAAACTGTATATACATATAACATTTTCCCATAGCCCTGATAGTTTCTGAGAAATTAATTAATCATTTCTGACGCCTCTTGTTTTCGATGCAAACACTACCTACTCAGGTGTACGTGGCGTATGCGCAACATTCTTTTCTGCTGATATTTCATACAAAAAATCCTTGCGCATTTTCATTTGACCAATCATTATTTTGTTATTTATATATCGATTTTCTTCATTGGTATCTTAGTTTTTTTCTAAAGGAACAGACTTTAACGCAAGTGTAAATTATTTACACAGAAACTGTTATTTTTTGACTTTTTCCCCTGTTAAAGTTTGAATTTTTCGCATTTTTCCATAAAAAAAAAACAAAAAATCTGGAATGATTAATTAATTTCTCAGAAACTATCAGGGCTATCGAAAAGTAATCTATATACGGTTTATGGAGAATTTTATTATCTATCATTTGTCGTACCTCGTATTACGATTATTTGATTGGTTCGTAAGATATACCTGATTAATTGGAACCTGAAGCTGAATAACGGCAAATTGCAAATATCTCGAAAACGTATCCATACAAAAAAAAAATAACTCGATTTTCGGAATCAGCGAGCGATTTTACATACAAATTGGATAGTGGCGTCTGGAGAACAAAATCAAAATTAAAATTTGTGATCCAGTGTAATTGCTGCAATTCAATTTAGCCATTAAATTTCAAGTGTTGCCTGAAGCGCTAAAGACATTCGAGAGCTTCAAGATGCGGGTCAGAGCAATGATTTTTATAAACTATTTATTCAACATCATACTCCCTATTTACTGAGTAACTTTTAGATACAAATTTTATATTTTTAAAAACCACCAAACCCAACTGAAGTCCGGCAAAATGGTTCCAGGTCCATTTCTTATCTATGACTTATCAATTCAGAACCAGAATATAAAGTTTAAATACGATTTAAAAATGCACTATCTTTTGATTAGTAAATACTGGATTCGTGCAACATTTTTTCTTTTTGTCATAACAAATAAAAACTAAAATCAGTATAGCATGTACATACATCGATATTTCTAACAAAAAGTTAATAATTATTTAAACTAAAATTATCTAAATCATTGCGTTGCTTTTTTATTCAGCTTTATCCTCCTTTTATTTATTTTTTTATTGTTGCTTGTAACTGCATCCAAAGATATACTGAGTATAGTGAAGTACTATTTGATAACCACTCTAATTCTACTTTTACTATTTTTCACAATTTTTTCACCAAAACTTAAATCTATCAATTTAATTGGTAAATTGACTTGTCAACACCGTAAAAAAACACAACCGTACACGTCAACAATCGTAATCGTACTGAAAATCCTCCAAAAAATATATACTACCACATCACAACACCACCACCTCCTTGAAAACCAAAATATCTGCACCACCATATACCTATATCCACAATACAAATGAAAAAAAAATAGGATTTGGACATGATAGCAGCACAACTTAATGAATTGGGCGTCTCTCAACAGCCCCAGCCGCAGACCGCTTTCGGCCAGCCGCAATCGCAATTACAGCAACAGCCACAACCAGAGGCGCCACCACGTAACAATCGCCAATCGGTGCCACCTGCGGCATCGCAGATGAAATCGGCACCAGCTGTACCGCCGATATCGAACAATCATCATCATGCGCAACCAATAAATCCATTAGATCCCTTGGATAGCAGCGATACGGATAGTGAGCCCGATGAACCCAACGAACGTGGACGCAATGATGGCACCCTGTTGGCCAGTGATCCACCGAAACCACTGTAAGTAGCAAATACTAACCGATTACGAGAGCATCTAAATAAATCAACCTCCATTAATACATAGTGACTTTCATGCTCTTTGAACATCCAAATTCATAAAAAAATAATAAGATACATATAATATAGGTTATAAGTCGAAAAATTTTATGTAAATACCATTTTATAAATCTTTTTCGGACCAGTCAATTCAGATGCCATTTATCAAGTCGGGCTCGCGTAGACAAAATGTAGACCCGAGATTCACCGTCACAAAAAAAAAAAAATCAAAAAAATCAGCGCGATTTTTAGCCGTTTCAAATTTGCACTTCATTAGACTAAAATTGTATGGGCTATAAAACTCCATGCCCAAAAATTTTTTAAAAATTCAGAATAAAATGTTGAAAATTTGTTGAATTTTCCTAAATTTTGTATAAAGTTTGAAACTGTGATTTACATGGTTTTGGTTAAAGCTTAGACTATATTTTTGTATAAAAATAACAAACATAACAAAATTGTCTCGAAAAACATTACCAATATTTGAAGAAAATCAACGCGTGGTCATTTGTTTGAGTCACTGTATAACTAACGTCTACCCATTTATATAGATTTTTATGCACGGGAGGCCAACTTCATATATACATATCAATGTTTGTCAGATTTAGATTGACTAGAATTTAATTTAAAGCAATTTTGTTTTTTTTGTGCCCCGCAACCTATTACTATTTTTGCTGGTGGGATTTACATAAATATCTATGCATTTACCCACATATTACACATTCGATATCACGGAACACATTTGCATTTCAAACTAATAAACATTTTGTCATTCTTCTTCTATTTCCTCTTCGTCATTCTTGAAATCATTTTCTTTTCTTTGATTTAATGATTTTGCGCCGCCATTTTCTTTTCGCAATCATCGCATTTCATTTACCCCCGTTTCGCTCCCTGCTCTTTTGTTTTTGTGTATTTTTTTTATGGTACAGTCCTGAATTTTCATATAGGCCTGGCCTTGGACCCGTCTCCGAGGACACGACGACCACTCCCATCAGTCATGGCAGCAACAGCGGAGGCGGACCACCCAATCGTCCATTGCCACCCACACCGGATGACGATGATCAGGCTGGCGATCGCACATTGATCATGAAGAGGGTAAGTGAGAAACCAAACGCATGCGATTTTGAATATGTTATGTTATGTTATTGTTATGGTTAGTTTATAAATAAGTAAGTTAAAGCAATGGGAAATTTTTAGTTGGCCTTAAAATAGAAAAAAATTGGTGATTTTTTGAATTGAAAAGTTTGATGAAAATTGAATAAAAAAAAAGATCAAAATTGAAAATTGCTTGCGGAGATAGGTTCTATGAAAGAGTTAAGTTAAAAAGCAAACCGCTGTGAACTTTAAGCTGAGCTTTCAACTAAACCCAATTTGTTATTATTGTAATTATTATTGTAAATTATTCAATTATTTTAAGGTATTTAAATCGCTTTAGGGTTGATGGTGTGTAAACTGTGATAGTACATATTTACTGATTAATAACAACAACAACAACAACGTTTGCCGAAGACCCCTAATATACAATTTATAATTGACTATTCGTATATATTAATTTTAAAATTTCACAACAAAAAAGCAATAAACAAGTGGTTGTGGTTCTTACTGTAAAATTGTAAGATAAATCCAATTTTTTTTTTTTGTTGCAAGCAACTGACCCAACGCGTGCGCTGCCGCGTCCTAAACGTACCGTAGACGTTTCACACCTTCTTTATAAATGCGTAAATACATATATGAATTTTCTGTTTAACAAATTCTTTTATTATAGTTTGTAATTAGTTGTAATATTTTAATTGATTTTAATGCCTTCAATCATATACATACATACCTTACACTTGAAATTATAATTAATTTTCGAATGCAAGTGAACCTATTGCTGCTTTCACGTACGCAATGGGAAAGCTCTGCAGTGTCTGCCTAATTTACATACATATACACGCATTTTTCAAACTGCAAATATTTTTCGTGAATTTTACTTTGAAAACCATATATTTTTTTTTATTTTAACTTTGCATTTCTTCTGTTTACACTAAACTTATCTGTTATTTACTGTTTTATTAATTGCATTCCTTCAACCAAACCTGTATAGAAATCGGCGCAAAGTAACTAAACAATTTTTCGTTAACTTCTTAATCTTATTATTGTACTGAGAGATACATATGTGTTGAAATTGCCAATGAACGCCGATGATTGTAATTGTGTGTGCCAAAAACGCACCATTACAGATATAATCCTAAATGCATAAATATTTAATGCACGCATATGCATATCTATATACATACATATGTACATAGTACATTGCTCGTATAAAAGCGTAAGCACACACTTCTCTGTAAATACTCGGTATGTAATTATTTACATACATATGTACATCAATACTTGATTTCATCATTCCATTGCAAATAACAATCGAATGCAAAAAATACATTTCCATTTCTTCCAATGAGTGAAAAAAGAAAAACTAAACTAGGTAACTAAAAAAGCAAAAATTCATGAAAAGGTTTGCAAAACTCAACCAATTCGATCCCCCCCACTCCCATTTCCGATCCCCCACTATCTTTCGCTATATTTCATCAGTCTTTCTTAAGTCGTTGAGAATGAGATTTTATGTGCCACAACTGAAATTTCACACAGAAACTCGAAAATCAAAACAAAATCCAAAAGTCTGCCTCCACAACTTGTGCCAATCGTCCGTCCAGAGATGAAGTTGTACTCATGCGCGAATGGGATATTGAAAAATTCTTCCCGAACCGCGAAGGCGGTGGTAATGGTAATGCTAATGGCAACGGTAACAGTAGCGCCGCTGCAATATCCAATTCGAGCACGCTGAAGGCTGAGCAAAAGTTGCACCGCAGCAGTATTTCAGAAATGTCGCGCCGTAATTCGCATCACCATTCACCCACTACAAAACAGCAGCCACCACCACAGCAACAGCAGCCACCACCCGTGCCACAAGGCTTCCAGCCTCTAAAAGGAACCAAAGATACACCACAAAAACAACAGCTGGCCCGGTCAGGCCACAGCAGCAGCAGCGGCGGCAGCAGCAGCAGCAGCAGCAACAATAGCAGTGCGAACACTAGTAGCGCAAGCGCAGAAAAGTCAAGTGCCTCGAACCGTGCCAGTACGAGTAGTAGTAACGCGGTCGCTGCCAGCGCCGCCAGCCCACAAAAGGCACAACCCCAACAGCAAGTGCATAAACGACAGGAGTCGGACTCGAAACTGCCGAATTTCATGCGCAGCTTTAGGCGTGAGAACTCAGACTTCTTTCCGCAGATGAAGCGCTACTCGGCGGTACTGAGTAATAGCAACAACCTAAGCTCGCCACAATTGGTGCAAGCTCAGCGTGCTAGCGTTATGCTCCCGCGCAGCAGCATGTACAGTAACAAGGGTGAGACTGCGGCAGTCTCCGACATTAAGCCAAAGGAAAAGAGTACATGCGGTGTTACTACTACTTCCACAACAACAACAACAACAGCCACTAGTGCTTCCAATGCTGCCAAGCAGCAGCTGCCAACAGAGCAGCAACAGCAAGCGACGCCAATGCCAATGCCAATGAGCAGCACTTCAAGTGCAGCATCCAACAAAGCTAAAGCGCCAGCCATAGCGGCGGTGCAGCCTCAAACTAAGGCGAGCTGGACTAGTAACTTAACACCGTGTAAATTAGATTTCCTACGGCCCAGACGCGAAAAGACTGAATCGGTAATTGTTTTGCAAAACTCCGCAGCTAGACAGCAGTCATTCCTGGCGCAACAACTACTACAGCAGCAGGTAAACACACATAAACACACACATATATACAGACATTCATACAATTTGAAACATTGTTCGAAAATGTTGAAAAGCGTTTAATTTAAACTAAATCTAAAACACACCAGTCTTTCATCTGTCTATTGTCCACTTATGGCAGTTTTGAAAATAACCAACTTGTACTCATAACGGTCGAAAAAAAAACCAGAGTGAAACTCAAGCCTAACTCTTCAGTATACCTCATTTAACCATGAAACTAAAGTAATTATCCACTGTACCATTCATTCTAACTAATATGAATCACTAGTATAATTGCGTGCATTACAAGTTGACTGGTATTTCTGTATGAATTTAAAATATCCGAACATCTTTTAAGCTTTTACACGTACATACATACATACGTATGTATGTGTTCTCCAGCTTCGCCTCTCCTCGCTACTTATCTCTCTGCGTATTTTAATCTTCTCGTCTCTATGCTAAATGAGAACATCATTTTGCCAGTTTGCTTTTAATCATAATTTCGTTTATTCATTTACCTAATCATTCATACTAAGTTTTTTATCTGTAATTATTTGTGCTTTATATGCTTTTTATGGATGTGGTTTGCAATATAATTTTTGTATATTAATTTATTACTTAACGCTATGCCTGTCTCGGGGATTATTATTTAGTTTTGTTAGTTAACCAATAGATTTTGTTTTTACAACGAGGGTTTACAATGTTTTTATTTACATCTCGGCTTGGAGTTAAATTTCTGTTGTATTCGAACTTCGAAAACACAGTAAATATTTATGTCGTTAAGTCGATGCTGTATTTAAAATAAAAGAACACTTCAGAAAATTAATCTCAGATCAAAGCTGGCATTATAATAAAATTTGCAATTTAAAAAATCAAATCAGAGGAATTAAAAAACCCACTTTCTGAAAATCTTAAATTCAGAGGAAATCAGATCGCTAACTCAGTTCATACGGAAAATCGGATGGTGTAAATAAACATATTTATTTTTTTTTAGCTAAATAATTAAGGAAAATAACGATTATTTAAACATATTTGATTGCTGAGACGATGAGCGAAATTAACCAGCTAATCACATGGCATACCCTATTTGTACATAAGTAACTGCTAACTATGTATAAGTTAAACAATACTCATATTGCTTGCGAAAGCCGCTTTAACGCCTACTAAGTACTACCACAGTAATTCCAATACTAATTTTAAGTAAGTAAGCAAATGCATTTATTTTGAAAGTAAATAACATTTTTCATTGGATGCAAATTTCATTACAATATATATAAATCAAAAATCACCAATTAAAATTTAAAAAAAAAAAAATGCCGCGAATTGCACGCTTATTTGTATGTATTTACAATGTTCGTATGGTATGTTATTTCAGTATCTTGATTAATAAATTGTATGTTTTATGTACATTTATGTTGTGAATGATAATTTTTTTGTGAAACATTTTCGCTAATATGAATGACTATTTTCAATTCGCATATTTTGCAAACATACATACATATGCATGGAAGATTTTGTACAGGCTGTGTTCAGAAATGCATCAAGCCAAAGCACCAGTCTCTTGTATGTCTAAACTATGATTTGGAGTGGGAATACCTGACTAAAGCTTTGGCTTGATGCATTTCTGAACACGGACAGATCATAAAACAGCTTGTGCTCTTCTACGATGCCTGCGCTTAATTTCGATAGCCTATAGGCCGACCGACGTCTCAATCATTCTATCGAAGTTTAGACACAGGAAATATGCATAAGCAAATATTTATATGGTTCCAATGAGTGGGTTGCCCGCAGTTTGGCCGCAGTTCATTTACTTCATGTTCCTTGTTTTCCAAAGAAAGATTGGATCGTCGGATTGGACCTGTCACGCATGCCGCTTTATTTCTTCTCAAAATCTAATTTTATTTTGGCTTTTTTAACATATTATGTTAGTAGCTTGCTTTTGATTTGCACCACCCAAAAGAATTTACGCTAAAAAAGAGCCTCCACCATTTGTTCTCGTTTTTTGTACGGTAATAACGGTAACACGTCCGTCCACGAATTAATTTGAAGAGTGCAGCATAGAGCTGTTTAAATACGTGAAACCTAAATCAGTTTTATTTAAATGGCTCTTCGGAAAGAATATTTGGGCGTAGTGTTGTCAACTTAAAATAAGACCTTTCACAAATACAGGATTGATGTTTGTATGTACTCGCACTTTAGTTTGTTCCCATTTACTAATTTTATAAATTTTCATTATAATATGAGGCCACGCGAATCAGATATGTCACCTAAAATGCGGGGAAGTGTAATCATTGTGTTTGACAACACAAAAATTCGTAATTGCTATTACTACTAAGTTTTACAAGTAGGAGTGCGATAGCGCCAAAAAATTATCCATCGCACAAAATTGATAGTTCGATGCAATAGAGACGCCATTATCCATCAAGAAAGCATATGATTGCAACTTATGCAAATAAAGAAGTTTTGTTTTTTGCACTTTGGTATTCTGTATGATTTTTGAGAGCCTACTATATGACTTTAGGATCCGTACTACCAGAAACTTTCGCCTGTTCTTCCAAGACGGCACTATAAATTTCTGTTTGCTTAAACAAGTTCTGTTCGTTGAGCAAAAAAATGTGTACGCATTATCATGATTTTTGTTCAAATCGCGTACTAACTAAACAATTATCCATCAGTCAAAAACTGAGAGCGCAAAGCGACAGTTCTTTTAGAGATAATTGTTCCAGCAAAACTTACAATAAAATATATGATTGGGACACATGATTATATTTTTGTCGACGATAATTTGAATAAACAAGTTCGATAAATTTAAAAAATTCTAAACTTGAGCCATTTTCTAATGAAAAATTTAAGTAAATACTCGGGTACTTAATTAATTTAGTTAATTCTAATGATTTAAAATGTATTCAGCTGAAAAAAACTGTATTCGTAATCGTAATGCAAGCGCAACCAGAGTCGATTTGGAAACCCGACAATTACTGCGAAAAAGAACTTGAAACGTATGTTTAAAAAAAGTCAGACTAACAGGAATGGTCTTTTGCCCACGTGAAAAATTTTAAAAATTCCATAAAATATTTGTATGTTTGAAATGCTACCGTGGACACCAGCTGGCAGTGAAACTTGCAAATTCCTGCAAATTCGCGTTCGTGCAGAAATTTGCAAGTTTCTCTACTTGAGATAGAATCTTCTCTTACTCTGTGAGGGACAATCCTAAACAAAACATCAACAAAGTCAGCTGACTTGTTTTCTTTTTGCAAGTAATTTTCTAATTTTCTGTTCATTAACTTTTTTGATTGGGAAATGGCTAATTTTTTATCGGACGCAACAAATGGCTTTGTTTCTTTTCTTTTCTAGCAGATAATTATCAGGAAGGAGAAGAATTGGAAAATTGAGAGAATTACGCTCACAGAGAGCGAAATAACGAAAAAGTAAAGAAACGCAAAACTAGCAAAAACTAGCAAGTAAACAGCTGATCGATGTATTTTACTATTGAAAATATTTGGCACTTTTTGTTTGTCCCTTTTGATAGCNGTTTCTGCTAGTTTTTTGGGTTAAGAAACGCTTTCCAGCAGAAATTAGTGATAATTTGTGATAATTATCTGTTAAGAAACAAAGCTTTTTTTTTTTGAATTTGACAGCGAATTGCATTGAAAAATTTCCGGTATTGCTGCGTAGAGCTGGAGAACTATCGATAGTCGCACCATCGATAGTTTTGTTGTATTTCGGAATGACTATCGATACTATCGCGATAGTATCGTTTAAATTTAATTCAATTTTACAGAATAAAGGAACTTTATTTCAAGCTTCAATTATTTGCTATTTTACAAAAAAAAAAAAACAAATAAACAAATAAAGTGTCAATTATTAATTAATAAAAAAAAACACTTACATATCGCTCATTTACTTTAATAGTACCATAATCCGAAAAATACAAATATTTAGTTAAGTACAGAAAGTAGCAGAAATTACCACTACTTATGTTTCTAACTCATGTATCCACAATGTTCAATTTTAATCACTTTAACTGTCCACTATTTCATGCAAAAAGAAATTCTTACCGTCCGACAATTTGTAGTGCAGAACAAAGATTCCACACACATTTTAATTAAAAATGTTAAAGAAATTATTTATATAGAAATCACCTTACGGTTTGGCAAAGATGCCTGCAAAATAAAACCGTTTGTGTGAGTTAGTGCCGGCGGAATTTTCAACAACTTAACTATCGATAGTGACTTAAAACCATCGATAGTCACGGAAAAACTAAACTATCGATAGTACCATCGATGGTTCTCCAGCTCTATTGCTGCGTTTGCAGAAAGTGATATAAAAACATCTATTATATTGTCTCATAATCCTTAATGTTCTTGCAGGTAGGCTATTTTGGTTCTCAGGGCCTCATATCGTACAAATACTCAAAATTCAAAATTTATTACCATCTTAACCCAACATCATAACCTCACAAAGAACGAATGCACTAAGTATCCATTCTCTGCATATTCCGTAAACGCTAACATGCTTTTTGTCCTTTCCATTAAGATCTAACCATCCGCTTAATTTAGCTTAACCTTATTTACGCAATACTTACATATATGTACTATTTTTATTCTTTGCTGTCGATAGTTAGCGATAGGTTTTTTAATTGGTCTCTGTAATGTTGTCTCTGAATGCTGATGAGGTTTCGGTAAATCAAAATAAAATCGAAACTCTGACTTTTGTTGGCTGTGGTGAATATCTGTCTATGTATATATACTACATATATGGAACTTTGGTTATGTCGTCTCTTGGTTGTTTCTAAACCAGCTTAACCCTATGCTGAGAGCTCATAATCTCCGATTTTGCGTGTTTTGCTACATCTGCTGGATCGNATGATCTATGTTGTCTCTGAATGCTGATGAGGTTTCGGTAAATCAAAGTAAAATCGAAACTCTGACTTTTGCTGGTTGTGGTGAATATCTGCCTATTTATGTATATATACTACATATATGGAACTTTGGTTATGTCGTCTCTTGGTTATTTCTCAACCAGCTTAACCCTATGCTGAGAGCTCATAATCTCCGATTTTGCGTGTTTTGCTACATCTGCTGGATCGCGCATAAAACTTATCAAAAGATAAATTATTTTATATGAAATAAATTTTTTTTCAAAATTGTTTTCAGACCCTTTTTACCACGCGATGTAGTAAAGACTTCTCAATCAATGCAGACAAATATATTTGGAAAANTAATTTTTTTTTCCAAAATTGTTTTCAGACCCTTTTTACCACGCGATATAGTAAAGACTTCTCAATCAATGCAGACAAATATATGTATTTGGAAAATGTGATATTTACCTGCTGCTAAGATCAAATCTTGTCAAAAAAAAACATAAATATTATAATCAATGTTACTTATTTGCTTTAAGAAAATTTTGAAAATTAGCTAACAAAAAATACAAATAAATATACATATATTAATGGTGTTATTTGGAGCGACAGCTCAGTCATATTAACTAGATGGTGGAAAATTTTATAAGACAAACATTTGTTATGTAAAAATTTCATTAATTTTCGTTTCTAAGTGCATACATACATATAGAGTCCTAGCCGCCAAAAGGGCGTAAGCGACAAAAAGTAAAATTTGTGTAAAGTATAAAGTTGAGCAATGCAAACACTGCTTTACACTCAACCCTGTAAAAGTGCGTGTTTTGCCTACTTTTCCTTGTCATTTTAAGCAACCTTCTGCTTTTCAGGGCAACCGTCTCCCCTGACCCTGACCAAGCATCAAAGGGCAGAGGATGAGTTTTTTTTTAAGAAAAGAACATAGAATTTTCCTCTTCTAGTAACTCTTCAGAAAAATCGGTGTCGCTGTATGGGACGAGGTGTGCCTTTACCTTTAGTTAAGCTCTGCAATAACCAAGTATTTTAACACCATTATTATATGTTCATCCTTTTCATTAAAAATCTTAATCTACCACAAATATATGTATTTAACTTCGTTTGTAAATCTTCCATATTTGGAAGAAAAATAGAGACAATTCAAAACTTGCACACAAAAATATAACAATTCCCCTCTGCAATGAAAATTGTTCACGGAGAAAAGGCTTAACCGACACTGCGGGCACAAAAGAATGTAAACAGAATACCATTAAGCACTTAAGCCAAAATTTCTTTCGCTATAACTTTGTAACGGTACTTTGTAGGACTTTGAAATTTTGACAGCTGGTGCATATGGTGGCAAGAAATCGCGTTCTGTCAAAAACAGAAAATCGAACATTTTGTCTCCTACGCCCTTTTTGGCGGTTAGGGCTCGATATGTTTATACGTATTGACAATTGTACCTCATTGGCATTCATATACATACATATGTACATTTCACAGCCAGGATCTGTGTATGGTTCATTGATTTGAATTCGGTGCTTATAGCCGTACTCGTATGTGTTGTATTGCATTTATGTATATGTAAAATTATTCATACATACATATGTTTGTATATACATACATTGATATTGACTCTGTCTAAGTAGTACTAAATCTTTTTTTTGCGCTCTATTTNAAATTTTTTTTCAAAATTGTTTTCAGACCCTTTTTACCACGCGATGTAGTAAAGACTTCTCAATCAATGCAGACAAATATATTTGGAAAATGTGATATTTACCTGCTGCTAAGATCAAATCTTGTGAAAAAAAACATAAATATTATAATCAATGTTACTTATTTGCTTTAAGAAAATTTTGAAAATTAGCTAACAAAAAATACAAATAAATATACATACAGTAATGGTGTTATTTGGCGCGACAGCTCAGTCATATTAACAAAATGTTGGAAAATTTTATAAGACAAACATTTGTTATGTAAAAATTTCGTTTCTAAGTGCATACATACATATCGAGCCTTAGCAGCCAAAAGGGCGTAAACGACAAAAAGTAAAATTTTTCAGTAGGCGTTTTTTTATTAACACGGTAATTGCTGTAGATACTAACGTTAAGGTCAATGGACAAGTTACGTTTGATGTTAGGTATATAATACTGGTGGTTTTATTTGCCCATATTTAATGAAACAAGTGATTTTGTCGCTTGCGCCCTTTTTGCCGTCACAAAGAAGGCTACAGCACGCAATTGTGGGGGTTAAGCCAAAAGATAATATATAAAGTTGAGCAATGCAAACACTGCTTTACCATCAACCCTCTAAAAGTGCACGTTTTGCCTACTTTTCCTTATCGAGCTCACACGTTTCATAATATTGTCATTTTAAGCAACCTTCTGCTTTTCGGGGCAACCATCTTCCCTGACCAAGCATCAAAGGGCAGAGGATGAGCCTTTTTTTTAAGAAACGAACACAGAGTTTTCCTCTTCTAGTAACTCTTCAGAAAAATCGGTGTCGCTGTATTAGACGAGGTGCGCCTTTACCTTTAGTTAAACTCTGCAATAACCAAGTATTTAACACCATGTTTATATGTTCATCCTTTTCATTAAAAATCTTAATCTACCACAAATATATGTATTTAACTTCGTTTGTAAATCGTCCATATTTGGAAGAAAAATATAGGCAATTCAAAACTTGCACACAAAAATATAACAATTCCGCTCTGCAATGAAAATTGTTCACGGAGAAAAGGCTTAATCGACACTGCGGGCACAAAAGAATGTAAACAGAATGTGCTTAAGCACTTAAGCAAAAAATTTCTTTCGCTATAACTTTGTAACGGTACTTCGTAGGACTTTGAAATTTTTGACAGCTGGTGCATATGGTGGCAAGAAATCGCGTTCTGTCAAAAACAGAAAATCGAACATTTTGTCTCCTACGCCCTTCTGTTTTGGCGGTTAGGGCTCGATATGTTTATACGTATTGACAATTGTACCTCATTGGCATTCATATACATACATACATTTCACAGCCAGGATCTGTGTATGGTTCATTGATTTGAATTCGGTGCTTATAGCCGTATTCGTATGTGTTGTATTGCATTTATGTATATGTAAAATTATTCATACATACATATGTTTGTATATACATAGATATTGACTCTGTCTAAGTAGTACTAAATCTTTTTTTTGCGCTCTATTTCTTCTCCAATAACTTTATACAGAATCGTAGCAGTGAAAATAGCAGCGGTCTTGGCACTCCCGGAACTCGCACAAGCAGCGTTTTACCCGATTTGCTTAGTCAAGCCTCGCCGGCAACACCACCACGCCATGATAAATCATCGAGTGAGGAGGTGAGTCAAACGTTTTACACTCAATTTGCTCTATGCTCTTTTATGCGTTTTGTTTGTTTTCCGTCATTAGTTTTTAAATTCGTATCTAAAATTAGATTTTTGATTTTTTGTCACAACCGTCCATTAGAATTTTCTTTTAAGTTATTGTAATTTATTTACAATTGTTGTTAGATATAGTTGTGTTTTGTTGTTTTCATACATATACATACATACATACATATCTGCCTAACTGTGATAAGAGAGTATATATTCATGTAGATGTACATACATACTATGTACGTGTAAGCAAGTCATATGAATTTGAAAAGCATCAACTTGCTCAGCTTTCAACGTCAGACCTGCTTGCATCTAACAGTTTTAAAAAGCAAGCATGGCTGAAATATTTGCCACACAATTCTGAAAGAAAGCAGTCAGCTTGCGGAAAACACACTCATTTTTGTATGTGGTCTCTGTTTGGCATCATTTCACCCCATTAACATGGACCGTTAAGCTTTTAAAAGTTGTACAAGTGTAGCATAAANACTCATTTTTGTATGTGGTCTCTGTTTGGCATCATTTCACCCCATTAACATGGACCGTTAAGCTTTTAAAAGTTGTACAAGTGTAGCATAAAGCAAATTACATAGAGCAACACTAATTGTTTTCCGTATTATTATATTTGCGCGCTTTTTAAATTCTTGTTATGGAAAATCAAATCGAATCAAGCCTGCAAAGTTAATGATTTAAAGCTGCCTTCCTTGTTTGGCCTTATATTTACTTGCATACATACTTACCAAAGAAATCCATTGGAACTAAATTGTTTGTCTGTATTTGGCTACTAATATGTACGTAATTGTGCAGGTGTGGAAATCCATATCAACTTAGTATACTCGTAAATTAATAGATCTCCTTAATTCGTGACTAATACCAAGGAGTTGATGGCAATGAAAATCATTTGTTTGGCGCGACCAGTGCTACATATCACAACTACATACATACAACTAAACCTCTTTACTTACGTTTTACATATCGATTAACAAGCAAGCAAACAACAACCACAACAATTATCAACAAAATTAGTACAACAACAATAAAACAATATACATTTAGAAAAGAACAAACTGACCTGCTTGCCAACACTGATCAATTTCGGATAAGCTATTAACTTTCTCGCCTTGTCTCGTTTGTTTTGAGTTGTAGGAATTTCAGTGTAGTTAACACCGAGCATTTGCAATTCCTGTTTAATAGTTTAGTCTCAATGTTTCGTTAATAATGATACTGCCACTGATGATGATGATGGTGATGATGATTATGAGTTATCCGAATCGTAGCTAAAATGTTTAGAATAATTTTTGTTGGCATGATGGATAGATTGATTTTCTTTTACCAACCAGATACAAATAAAAGTTTTTTATTATGATTATAACAAAATAAAAATTTTTCTTCATTGTGCTTTGTCTTTCCGCGACGTTTGTGTTTGAGCTGATGGCCACAACGAAATTTTTAACAAATTATCAAAATGCCAAATTGCAATTAAAACGAATAGTAAGTATTTAATCACAACAACCAATAAAATATAAAACCAAAAACAAAAAACAAAAAATAATTGCAAGTCTAAATTAGCAACCATTCGCAAATATACATATCTAAATAACATTATGAGTAACAAAGTCGATAGTGTCTGTTGTAAAAATCCTATGATGTTTATACATACGTACATACATAGTATATGCAAATAAAAAGTATTTTTTAACGTATAAGTAAGAAAACCACTCGCAAGAATCTAAATGTTTCCTTTCTACATGCTATTTTAACGTATTGGTATAAGAATTTTATTTTTTATTTTTTTTCTCTCGCCTGTATTACACCTTTTTTTGTATAATATTTTATTCATGTGTTTTTTCCATAGTTGCCTCGCTTAGTTTTTAATTGAACTTAGAAAAACATATACATATGTACAAAATCCTTGTTTCTTTAGAGTCTCCCTCGATTGGAAACGACGAAAATTTTAAATATAACTCGTCGCAATTGACCTTCAAGAGTCGAATGTCCTATGCTCATTTATATGCATTTTTTTTTATCTTTCATATGCGTGTTATAGTCTGTGTAGCATGTTAGAAACAGTTATCTAAGCAAGAACGTTCTTAATACATATAAATCTAGTTCTCCACTTTGAAGAGACGTGTTCTAAATTATGACTAACAAAAGTGTTAAATTTCTCTCCAATTCATGCCTCAAATACACTTCACATTTTTTAATTGTTTTAATTTAATTGTCATAATTTGTGACTAACCTCTTAGGATGCCAAGGTTTTTTATGTCTTAAACCAAGAGCTTCACCCCGTACTAACACCCAGAAAATTCCGAAAAATATAAATGTCCCTGAAATTTAGAAATTCTGAAATTGAAATCAGCTACAAACATACATACATCGCATTCGATTAAAATTTAACACACGATATAACACATCTACATAAATAGGCGCGTATACAACTTAGTACCTTAGTTATAATAATTAGATTTTTTTTTGTTCACTGATAGTTCGTTCTACCCACACATATCTAGCTTCTAAATTAATTGCAAATATTTTCGGAAACTATTTTCTTTTGTCTCACTGATTTCATGGCGTCTGGGAAAGACTTACCACATTCTATCTTCTTCTGACCTTTAGTTCCAGCTTCTACACCACCCGATAATCTCTACAGCTACTACATAGCCCACATAGTTTTATCTGTAACTAACACAATACCATTTTTTATTTTGGATCCATATTATCATTGTCGCTTTATAGTACATCTGTCCATCTCTCCAAAGAAAAGGATAGTTGCAAAATTTCTTCTTTTTTAACTACAACGTTACACTATTTTTTTCCGCTGGTGATAAGTTCTATAATATGTATAACACTTGTTTCCCCACTTTCTGTCATGTTGGTTGTGCATACAAACGACTGGTGAATATTTCATTCTAAATATAAAATATAGCTGTTAAAACTCATCACTTATGTGTAAATACAAAAACATATTAGCATCTTAAATACTTTTTTTAACATCAATAAAATACTAACAATTTAATTTTATTCTCTTTCTTTTTGACAAAAAAATAAAAACCTTCATCTCTAAATTCGTGCATGTGTTGGCCTACCTGCCGTCTACAGTATCAAGCGGCCATCAACTCATCCGTGCATTCCACACCGTCAAAGTCTTTTATCGGTTCGAACAATTCACCGCAGTCGACAATTTCATTGTCGTCGTCGTCGTCGCGGCAGAATAGTCCGAAGAATTCAATTAGCAAAACTAGATCTACAAGCAGTATTACTAATCTATTGCATAAATCTGCCTCTTCTTCTTCCAATATCTCTTCGCCGCCATCGTCTGCCAATTTGCCGCCGCACGCGTATGCGCTGCAACAGAAACAGCGTAGCTTCCTCACATTCGGTTTTGGTGCTGGCGGTTCAGGACCGACGCGTCGTGAATCGCACATAAACGTCAATGTGACGCCAACGTCGCATGAAGCCACCAGCGATACACCGGAGATACGTAAATATAAGAAACGCTTCAATTCGGAGATTCTTTGTGCGGCACTTTGGGGTGTCAATCTACTGATTGGCACCGAAAATGGCCTAATGTTACTGGATCGCTCGGGACAAGGAAAGGTATGATGGGGGATTATTAAAGGTTTTTTAAGTTCTCAATAGCGAAAAACCGAATTGAAAATGAAAATATCTATTTTTTGTATAGTTTCAAATCAATAGTTCTGAGCTGAAATAATTCTCCTAATTTTGTGTTTTATATATTTGTATATTTCATCAGGTTTATCAACTGATTTCGCGTCGTCGTTTCCAGCAAATGGAGGTGCTAGAAGGTCAAAATATTTTGGTAACCATATCTGGAAAAAAGAACCGTGTGCGCGTATATTATTTATCATGGTTGAAATCGAAAATCCTACGAACTGATGGACTCTCTGATGTAAGTTAAAGTAGATTTCACTTTAAAAAGGCAAATTTGTTAGTTTATTTGCTTTATGCAGCAAGTGGAGCGTCGCAACGGTTGGATAAATGTTGGTGATTTACAAGGTGCTGTGCATTTTAAGATTGTCAAATACGAAAGGATTAAGTTCCTAGTGATCGCTTTAAAAGACTCAATTGAAATTTATGCATGGGCTCCTAAGCCATACCACAAATTTATGGCATTTAAGGTAAGTCCATTGATACCATACCTGTAGACTTGAGAAGGAACTAACTAACAATTTATTTCGTTTCTTAGAATTTCGGCGATTTGGAACATCGTCCGCTGCTAGTAGATCTCACCATAGAAGATCAATCGCGTCTTAAAGTGATTTACGGCTCTGCAGAGGGTTTCCACGCGGTCGATTTGGACTCCGCTGAAGTATACGATATTTATCTTCCTAAACATGTAAGTGAACCTTAAGTGAACCATACACGGTTCGTTATTTAATAATATTTTTCCCTTTTCTCTTTTGTTGTTGTGCAGACTCACGATGCAATCATTCCGCATTGTATAGTGGCGCTTCCAAATTCAAATGGCATGCAGCTATTGCTTTGCTACGATAATGAAGGTGTCTATGTAAATACGGTTGGGCGAGTTTCAAAGAACATTGTATTGCAGGTACATACTAGGCTACTACGATTTTATTTCTGTTTAATCCTATATTCGGTGTACTGTTTTTTAGTGGGGCGAAATGCCGACATCGGTGGCTTACATCGGCACTGGACAAATCATGGGCTGGGGCAACAAAGCAATAGAAGTGAGTACAATACATACAATAATTCAATTGCAGTATCAAGCGTGCTATATTTATAAATGTTTTTTTATGCAGATTCGTTCGGTTGAGAGTGGTCATTTGGATGGTGTGTTTATGCACAAAAAAGCTCAGCGCTTGAAATTCTTGTGCGAACGAAATGATAAGGTGTTCTTTAGCAGTGCCAAAGGTGCTTCATCGTGTCAAATATACTTCATGACACTTAACAAGCCAGGTATGGCCAATTGGTAATCAGTCAGCGAATTCATGGGATTCGAAGTGATAAATGCGCAACGTAGAAACGTACGATTATAAAATGAGCGTAGAAATGTGGAAACAAATAAAAGCGCTGATTGGTTACGACGCAATCGACAGTTTGTTTCTCGTAATTATAAGTGAATTTTAAATTAAAGTATGTAGTAAACCCAAAAAAACGAGACAGATGAAATATGAATATGAAATAAAACGCTAATTTGCTGCTTAATACTGCTGAAATTAAAAACCGTATTATAAGCATTAGCAGAGCAAGAAGAAATTTACAACACCAGGAAGATGAAATGAGACGAAATATCAGATATTTAATATGGAATATAACGAAAACTGGAAGTATATGGTACTGAAGTATATACATACATACATACATCCTTATGCAGGCATGATGATGCTCTGGATACATGAAATTGATTTTGCAAAGGCAGTGAGGAAGCAATATTATAGTGAGCATGCTGAAAACTTGTATTTTAATAAATGCTATTATTAAGTTGTGTTTTGAAAAATTTATAGAAAACAAATTA